GAACCGCTAAACCTCTTGGTCTCTCCATCTGCAAGGAAGAGAGGAGGGGAGAACGCCACCGCGTGGCGTGTTATGTCCACAGAGGTTAGAAGTTGAGTAGTTCATGTGTCCGATGGCCGGTTACGCTTTGTGTGAAAAAGTAGAAGCAAGCTGGCTGTTCCCTTCATCTGCTCGGAAGGCATGAGGTCGGAGGAGGTGGTGGAGGGGGGCTTTCTGATTAACGTGCTCTGTCAAAGAAAACGTTATGATCACAGCGAAACAAAGGGCTCATTCAGTGCTTCACTTGCAGGACCTCATATGCCCCCCAGCGCACCCAGTGGGTAGGTCCTGTTATTTGCATTAGAGCTAGTTACCTTATTAACTAGCTAGTTGAGTGGTTCAAGGTGACACGACTAGAAAATGATGCACCTAGAATTTGAATTCAAAGTCATCTAGCTGCAAAGTCTGTGTTCTTAACCACTGCCCCATCCTACCCTTCCACCTTGCCAAGCTGCTCGGGTGCGGGGCGGGGGGGAGGATGACGGGAAATCCAAATTCGCGGGACTCTGTCAGCCCAGGAGGGGGGCGACAGACATGGGCACCACAGCTGGATTCCCAGGGTTTCCCCTCCAGCTTGCCCTAAAGAGAGTTCCCAGCAAACACAGGATCCCAGAAAGCTCTCAGAGGCAAGAATTCTCAGCTCTTTTACTGATTCCCCCGGGTTGCAGGGGGAGGGGGCGGGGTGTGTGTGAGCTGGGCACAAAGGCAGGATAAAGGTAAACTTTCTGCGTGTGAGAACCATTCCCCCCTCCAAGGGGCCGTGTCACACTGTATGTCACCGTCATCAAAGGGGCTGTGCATAAACCTGAAAAACCAAACGGACCTGTCTGTAGGTGTTACTTATATCACAAGGCTACAGGTGCCTTTATTTCCACTGTACGCCGGTGCTGGGAGCGCCTGCCTTCTCTTGCCTTGAAAACCTCCTCTTTGGACCCAGCACCGCTGTCCTCAAGTAAGCACCTTTTCTTTGCTCTTTTGGATGAATTGTAAGGGGTGTCAGGGCTTAGAGGCTCCGGCTGGGACCTGGGTCTGGGGGTCTGTCCCCGGCTCCAGACTGCCCGCCCTCCTGCCATGTCCATCAGTCACAGTGCCTCCCGGGAGCTGTTTGAGTGGGATTTAACTGCTTGCCTGAGAGAGACATTTTTCCATCCTCAGGCTGTGTAGCCAGCCACCCACCACCGCCATGGGAGCCCCCACTGCCTCTGGATCACTTGATTAAACCAAGGGGAACTAACTAAGAGAGAATGCATACAGGCACTCTACTCTCTACCCTTCCTAAAGCTAACCTTAGGAAGGGAAGCTGGATTTTACACCAAAAAATATTCAGCTTCAAGGAAAGTCCACCTCCTCCTGCCTAAACGCCTCCTTTTCCCATCGGCCTGCTCATGGACCCCCCACCTTGAAACAGAGAAGATAGCTGCTTTGTTACAGATTAGGGCGTTTTTCAGGAGATTGTCTTACATAATAGCTTAAAGGAAACCCGTTCTGCCCTCTCACACCACCTCCATATAGAATGTTTCCAGAAAAGCAATGGTTAGGGTTTTTCCACTGTATTTATTCTCAGACCTCTGCAAAGACTCTGCAGTATGTGATGTTCTTGTGCATTCGCCCCCTGCTGGCAGCCACCAGTAGCACATGCTCCCTTCTCCAGCTGGAGCTGGGGACCCACGTTCATTTGGATGTGCTAAGAATTTTACAAACTGGAAAGGTTATCAGAGATCATTAGGGACAACCTCTTCACTTTACAGATGAGGAAACTGAGGCCTAGAAAGGTAAAGTGATTTAGGGAGACAGCTTCACGTTTTAGTCTAAAGACACAGGGGTTGTTTGCCCCCTCTGAGTGAAAGCTTAAATCTTTTGTCCCCATGTTCTCTGTGAGAATGTTTTTCATGATTCAAGGTGCTGTTGACAAGAGTTTTCACAGATTGGTTTTCTTCTTTTCAAAGAAGTCACCTGAGTAGTAACCTTTTAGATATATTGACAATAATTGATTTTCTTTCCCCCCGCTGGGACAGGAATGGACAAACGTATTATGCCTACTCATCTACATATGTTATCTAATTTGGTTAAATCCTTGGGATATCCTGAGTATTGTGTTTAAAATCCCCATTTTAGAGATGAGGCATTTTAAAGATGAGCTCAGAGAGGGTCATGGATTTTTACATAACACACTTTGTATGAAACAAAAATAAAGAATAAAAAATACAATTTCGGCAGGCTGAGTAGTAAGAAATGTGTCCCACGTCCCTTGCCTTGTGGGTGGCAGAGGTGGGATTTAAACCCCAGTGGATTTAATCCAAACCAAAGTTGATGAGCTTTGTACTGGAGCCCACAGTAAACTATACGGCGTACCTCCTATGAGTCTTTGCTGAATCTTTAGAAAAACAACGAAAAACAAACTAACTAGCAAACTCCCTACACAAGCCAAAGAAAGATGAGGAATCACTTGGCAAGACGTCAGCAAGGCAGTTCTCACAGCTGCTCTGGTTTCTCCCAGAGCAAACACTCAGGCAGCCAACCCACAATCCTTTAGTAGCAAGTATTGAAATAGTCCGGTGGGTTTTCCTTCATGTGTCCCTTCTTAGGGAGGTCCAAAAGGTGGGAAGTGGACCCTGCCTTGCCCGCAGGGCTTGGGACCTGATGGACACTGGGATATCGCTGAGGCTTTAGAGGACAAAAAGCCTTATTTTTCCCAGTGAGGTTGCCCAGGCGGTGGGATCAGGGAAGGCCCTCCCTGGCCCCCTTCTCCATGGTTTACACCCTCACAGCCTTGTTCTGCCCAGTGATGTTTTAGCACGTAAACAGCCAATGTGTAGGTGCTTCACTGGGTGGATTTTTGGTCACGTGCCCGAAGTGAAGTTGATGATCTCTGCCAGGGTCAGGAAGGAATTTTCCTCCTCTGGCTAACTGGCCAAGGCTGGGTGGTTTTCTGCTTCTGCTCTCTCTGGAAGGCTGAGCAGAGGTGACATGGACACCACACCTGTGACTGCTGCCTCTGACTCATGTGAGGGCGGGAAGCCCACAGGCCTGTCTCTCTGACTGTGTGGACCCTCCCCGTGCACCTTGGTGAGTGAGCCGACTCTCAGAAGGGATAGGAAGCCTCTGCAGGCGCTGGGGACCTGAACGTCCACGCCATTCCCAAAGGTCCAGCCAGCCTTTCTCGTGCATGGAAGAGAACCCACTTGATTCCTCCCCCTTGTGTGGAATGTGCCTGAGACTTTCCTACTTATTAGGCGGCTAGAATGTGGACTACACTTTGGGGAAACTGATTCCAACTGCCGTGGGTCTGTGGATGGGCCGTGAGTGAGGGTCCAGAGTACTTAAGGCGCCTGGCTAGCCCAGGCAAAGAATGTCCAGAGTCCACAGTGGGCATAGGAGGAAAGGGAGAAGAGAAAATTGGGGGAATTTTTAGAGCTAAAAGTTTCATCTCTGTAGTGATTGAATTGTACTCCAGTTTGGTGAGCTTACTTGACTGCACCATCCAACTATACCACCGTATATATGCATGTGCGTATGCGTGCACATGTGTGGATGTGTCGGCCCACTCCAGTGGGTTCCTGCAGAAAGACACGCAGCTGGGGCATGTCTTGGAGTCCACCTCACCAGTGTGTCCATTTAGCAGATGAAGAACTGAGGCTCGGCAAGGAGCAAGAGGCAGAATCCTGACTCCCAGCCCAGCGCTCTTTCTGTGATGACAAACCAGCCAGCCCCTCAAAAAACAAAAATGTGTGGTTAGAACAGCAAGCCTAGGACCCTCCCTACACATCCCTTCTTGTCCTGCTGCCGATTCTACTTCTAACACAGTGCTTCTCAACCTTTTTTTTTCTTTATCACCCCCTCTAGGGAGCCTTTTTAGATCATTGTTTATTAATTGTACCCCTTCCATGAAATGTTAATATCACAGATTTACTGTTTACCATTTACATACTATGGCCTTTTGGAGGGTCATAAAGGATTATAATGGCTAAGATTTTTCTGACCCTCAAGAACCAATCTTTTCCCTCTAGGGTCACTGTCCCCCCGCCACACTGGGAATACATATTCTAACTTCAGGCCTGGCCTTACATATCACTGGGCATCAATGTCTTCACTGAGAAAAGGGTCCTCAAATAGCTGTTCTCTCCCACCATCCTGTTCCACCTACATTAAAGAAATCTTAAGGGCTAAAATGTTCAATTATTAAAAGGACCATAGAGAGCCTAAGAAGCTGGGCTGCGGAATACAAAGCAGCCATTATTCCCGAACTTTCACACCTAGTGCCCACTGGCTAAGTGGCCGAGGTCTCTTGTGGAGAATCCAGAGTTAATAACACCCCGTCCTCCCACTGCAATAGCAAAAAAAAAAAAAAAAAAAACGGCCCACTGGCTAAGTGGCCGAGGTCTCTTGTGGAGAATCCAGAGTTAATAACACCCCGTCCTCCCACTGCAATAGCAAAAAAAAAAAAAAAAAAGCTGCTGCCTTTTATAAAACACATCTTTCCACAAAGCAAAAGATAATTACAGAAGAAAAATGCATGTTGTACACCTGAAGACAGCCCTTTAAGAAAACCTGATGGACATAATTTGCCATAGAAGAACCACCAAAGGGAATCAGATACAGACGGTGCTGTGTACAGCCCTGGAGAGATTACAGAGCAAGCCAGTGGGCTGGTGCAAAAGGAAGAAAACAAAGAAGGCTTTAAAGGAGGTAAATATCATACTGGTCAAAAATATTCCTAGTTTTTATATGATCAAATTCAATTTACCAAATGACTTTTGAGAGCTTTGCTAGGCAGAGATGAGAAAGAGTGCACTCCTACCGTCACGTTATGTATCTGGAGGATTCCTAACTGACACCGAAGACCTGGGAACTGTTTTCTATTTTCCTCCACGTGGAGACCACCTCTCCTTTCTCCAAGCCCAGCCGTGAAGGTCATGTCAGAGGCCTGCCATTCTCTTCCTCCATTTTCTGAGCCTCCAGCCCAGAAGGGCAGGGGGCATTTTTACCTTGAGCCCTCACTTAGGAGAACTTTTCTGGGGTCATGTCCAGAAAGGGGCTTTGGGCTCCGGGGGCCCTTCCCTCCTTCATAATCTCCCACCCCCATTCCCTCTTCATCCAGCCACCTGCTCTGGATATAAAACCAGTCAATCCGTGGGAAAATCAGAGTCCAAACCCAGGCAGCCTTTACTTCTGTTTGATATGGCTCGCAGCGGGAGATCTAAGAACGTGATAATCTGCTGGGCACGTTAACCCTCTCCAGGCACCAGGAAGGAGGCTTCCTAGTGAGGTCTGGTGAACCTCTGATGATGCCCAGAGAGGGTGCCTACATGTGAGAATTTGAACTCAGTTATTTATTTATGTCTGGAGCACGGTTCTCATGCACATCTGATAGTGGTGATGATAGGCAGATTTGCAAACATCCCCAAAGAATTGATCTTTGGTTCTGGAACCACACAATCCTTGCCCCTCTCGGTACTGAGGTCCTATTTGATGTGTAAGTGAAACTGGGATGCGTCTGTGAACAGATGAGGCTGTGAGTGTTTTTAGAAAGAGAAGCAGATGGGTTGAAAAAAAACTTAAGAATTCTGTATACCATAACGCTGTGTGACTGACAAAGTTACACAAATTTCCTGGGCCTTAACTTTCTCAGCTGTAAAATGGGTGCAGGGAAAGATTAGACCAACTCAGTACTTTCCAACATGCGGTACTCCGACCACTCATGATACGTGAGATAAATCTGGTCAGGTGTAGGCAAGCTTTTTCTTAAAGCACTAGATAGTAAATATTTTAGGATTTGCAGGCCTAAAGGCAAAAATCAAGTACATTATGTGTACATTTATATAACCATTTAATATGTAACCATGTAAAAATGTAAAATCATTTTTAGCTGTGGGCCATTCAAAAATAGGTAGTGGGCTAGATTGTGCCGGTAGGTTGTAGTTTGTGAACCTCTGATCTAGGCGGTGCACGGATGACTAATTTTTATTTCAATGCTTATGTCTTTATTTTTATGTATCTTAAACAAATGCCGACTTTCCATTTATAGTGGTGATGTAAAGTTTTCCTTTTAAATAAATGTGGTTATGTTAAAATAAAAAGGGAAGTGATTTTTTTAATATATTAAGGAAGTTATCATGGTGGCAGGCGAATGACTAAAGCTTGGGAAACACTGGACGAGATGATTAATAAACTCCTGACCATCTAAAATTCCATGCACTTAATAACCTGGAATCTAGTCTTTGCTTTGACACTTCCCAGATGTGTGATTTTTGAGCTGCTGTGTCCCCTTTGCAGAAGGGAGTAGAACCACGCTATCTCATCAACATTATTGCGATAATCATAATAGAAGTTGGGTGAACAGATTTTTCTAATTCACCAAACATGAATTCATTTTTTTCTGAATTGTGGGAATATGGGAAACAGCAAAAGGAAACTTGAAAGATGAGACTGGTGGGGCAAGAATGCTTATGAGTAGAAGCCCCAGCCCATATTTTTCTATCCCCTTTCCAGCCTCGACCAGTCATCTTCTCCCAAAGCTTCCCACTCGCCAGCATGTGCAGCAATTAGGTTCATGACTTCTTAAACAGACCCACCTGCGTTGTCACCCAGACTCCAGCACCTGCCACCTGGGTGCTCTGCAGCATGTTACCTGGAATCCCAGAGCACCCAACCCTCATCTATAAAAACAGAACCCACACCAGAAACTGTCTCAGAGTGGTTGCCCTGGGGGCACCATGAATAATGAATGTAAACTGCTCAGCCCAGAGCCCTCAGTGAAGCAAGTATGTTACAATTATCACAGGTCTTCACCCTCTTATCCAAAACCCTGAGGCGAGATGTGCTGAAGAATTCAGAATTCTTCAGGTATTAAGAAGGTGGCACAGGGTATATACTGCAGAGCACAGAATACCCCTCTCAAGGTATTGTCTGCTAGGACTGCTTAAATGCATTAATATTTCTGCAGTGTATCATATGAATATTCATCGAGTAGAACAAATAAAACTATAGCTATAGCTATAAAACTACATAGCATATCTATAGTTGTATATGTTTAATAAATGTATAGTATTTAGTTTATATACATATATAGAAGTATAGATATAATATATATTATAATTATATATAAAAATTTTATAACATCAATTCAGGACTGTTTTTGCTGGGAAATAAGTCGTAACCACACACACACACACAAATATACTTTCAGTTTCAGAGCTTTTGGATTTCAGAATTGTGGATTAGTGTTTGTGGGCATATTCATTTATAATAATTCTTGCCCTGTTTTCAGAAGTATATATATATATTTTTTGGCCACACACCATGGGGCATGAGGATCTTAGTTCCCCAACCAGGGATCAAACCCCCACCCCCTGCAGTGGAAGCGTGGAGTCTTAACCACTGGACTGCCAAGGAAGTCCCAGAAGTATATTTTTAGACATTGTAATCCAGAGTTCAGGGCTCACTTGTGAGAGAATAGGAAAAGTAAAAAAAGAACATTATTATATAATAAAAGCCTTCATCCTCAAATCCCAGCTTTGCCACTTACTGGCCATGTTACCTGGACAATTGTCTCAACCCCTCTGCCTCAGTTTTCTCATCTATAAAATGGGGATATACACACAAATCTCACAGGATGTGGCAAGGATTAAAAAATGTCACCGTGGGCTTCCCTGGTGGCGCAGTGGTTGCGAGTCCGCCTGCCGATGCAGGGGATACGGGTTTGTGCCCCGGTCCGGGAAGATCCCACGTGCTGCGGAGCAGCTGGGCCTGTGAGCCATGGCCACTGAGCCTGCGCGTCCGGAGCCTGTGCTCCGCAACGGGAGAGGCCACAACAGTGAGAGGCCCACGTACCGAAAAAAAAAAAAAAAAAAAATGTCACCGTGGAAAGCACTTAGAGGGGTGCCTGGCTCCTGGGAGAATGCATATTTGTAAGTGTTTGCCGTCATTACTAAAAACCAAGTGTCGCCCTGCTGGGGGCTCCTACAGTGTGGCTTTCTTCCTTCATCCGCCTCCTCACAGCCTCTCCTGCCATTACAGGGTGATGTTGGACTCAGTGACACACAACACCTTCCTGCCCAACGTGTCCTTCTGCGACCCCCTGATGTCGTGGACTGACCTGTTCAGCAATGAAGAGTATTATCCTGCCTTTGAGCATCAGACAGGTGTGTACGTCTGGAGAAGCTCATCTGAGCTGGGACAGACTGGGGCAGGAGGTGGTGCTGGCCTCAGGCGGGTGACAATGCCATGCTGTGGGCCTGAAAATGCCAGCTCTCACCAGAGTTAAGGGCAGAGGGTCACAGGAGACCCAGGCGGGAGGAAGGGCCGCTTCTGCAGAGAAAAAAGCACTGGAATCCTCGCCCCAACCTTTTCCCAGCTCTGTGGGCTTGGGGAACTCCACTAACCTCTCTGAGCCTTATTTTGCTAATGGGTAAAAGGGAGATGATAACACCAATCTCTTGGAGTTATTATATTTAAACAATGTAATAGAAAGAAACCCTTAGCCCGAAGCCTAGTACACTGTGGTTGTTCGATCATTGTGGCTTTAGCCAACATTTGCTAACTACTAGTTGTGCCCCAGACTCTGTACCAAACACCCGTCTCTTCCTTATAGAAGCCCTAGGAGAAATTACTAATTATTATTCCCATTTTATAGATGAAGAAACTGAGACACAGAGAAGTTACATGACCTGCCCAAGGTCTCACAGTTAGTTAAGTTTCATGCAAGTTGACTTGAGCGTCTGCACTCTTAACTATCTTACATAGTCATCTTATAAATGACGTAACGCTGTGATTATTGGTATTAATATTATAGATAGTCTCTGAGCTTCTATTTCCTTATCCATAAAGCAGGGATGATGAGAATTACTGTGAGGATTAAGGGAGCCAAACTGTGAAATGTATAGCCTGACACCAAGCAAGTGCTCAGTAAACAGGAGTGTCCTTGCTGTCCCCCAGGCTGCCCTCCGCACACTTCCTCCTCTCTCAGCCCAGTTTTCTCCTCCTAAAAAGGAAGCACGGGGCCTTGTGCAAGCCCCATGCCAAAGGGAGGCCAGCTAAGCTTTGCCCCAGAAACCCTCTGTGGGCCTCTGTCCCCAGGTGCTTGGGTGACTACACATCACAGCAAGCCTGGCTGACTGCTAGCACAGCAGGTGTACGCCCCACGGAGGGTGATGCAAGCACTGATCGAGCCCTCAGGCCTCACCACCCAGCCTTGACCCTGTGTGCTCTGGCCCAGCGGGGCCCACACTCAGGGTCAGGAGGCCAGCAGCCTCCAGAAGAGGCCAAGCCTCTGAGGACACTGTGAAATGTGCATCTCAAGGAGCCCCTGCCTCCAGGCCAGAGACCAGTGTTGCACAGACAGACCTGAGACACATACTTACAAATCGAATCCCACACCATCCCCCAACCCCACACACGACACACTTGTATGTATGACATCGCTCACTCTCACCAGGGTCCAGATAATTGCACATGGACCTGAGTCATCCAGCCGCACATTGTAATTCTAAAGTGGAGATAGCAGTAATGCCTATCTCGCAGACTTGTGAGGGTGAAATGAGTTAATAGGTGTGAAGTGTCTGGGACATGGCAGGCACACAGCAAGCACACACAAGTGTGTAAAAATGAAGGGTGAGCTTCAGTTTGGGTTGAAGAAAAAGTTCTGGCGGTGGATAGTGGTGATGTTTGCACAACAATGTGAATATACTTAATGCCACTGAACTGTGCATTTAAAAAGTACAGACCCAGCTTTCTCCTGTCTGAGGCCTCTGCATTTCCATCAGTGTAATGAGGGATTGGACCAGGTCCTTGCTAGGATCCCTTCCTGAAGCGTCTCTGATTCCTGCATCAGGCAACATCACAGAGGTAGACTGCATCCCCCACCACCCATTGAGAGACTAGAAATTCCCACCCAGATGTGAAGACAAAATGTCCTCCGAGAGTGGCCCCGCTTCCTGACGTTCCCCGAGGGAGGAGCCAGGCTTTGGGCTTGTCCTCTGGCCCTCTGGATTTCAGAAGGAGCCGAGTGTCTCTGAGCTCATAAAGGTCAAGGGTGGGTGTGAAAATTTAGTCTCAAATGAGGGCCCGGGCTCCCTGAGTCCCACTGGTGGGAGGAATGCCCTGCAGTGCCTTCTGTCTTTTTGTCACCCCAAGAGGTGACACATGGGTCTGAGTGTCTGCAAAAACCTTCTCTGAGAGGGATGCATCAGGGGACAGCCAGGTTCTCCAGACACTGCTCTGCCATCTGTCCTAAGGTCCTTGCCCACCTCCCAGGAAATTCCAGCTTGAATTCAGGGTTGTCCCAATGGCAGCTTCCTGTTTGGGCCTGAGGTCAAGGGCTGGTGTTGGCACCCACCAGCCCCATGACCTTGGGCAGGTTTTCCCGAACATCTCTGAGATGTGCTCTCCTCAGCTGAAACGGCATCCACCTTCCAGCGTTGGGAGGATTGACTGCGATTCCACATATAACGTGTTCAGCAAAGCACCTGGCACTTGGCAAGTGGTCACTGTAGCCAGCTGGCGGAAAAACAGCTTTCTCTCTGCTCGCTTCTCTTTTCATATTGAACTAAAGCAGCCCGGGTCCCCATCTCAGCCTTTCCAATTCAGAATGTTGGCAGCTTAGACACTTTGAGACCAAAGGGAGAGAAAGGGAGAAAGAAATGATGTGCCCTCTGGATAAATGATGTCCGTGAGAGTGCAGGGAGGAATACGCAACCTAGTTGGGATAACCAGCTGTTTACTGCCTCTTAACTGGCTTTAGCAGGGGGCAGCTGAATCTGTGTCCGACGTGTGTTAAGTGCGCAGCATCTGGCCTCTCTTAGAAACAGTATAGCCTGCTACATGGCAGGCTGGCTAGTGAGCAGTCACAGACTGCAAAATGTTCTAGAATATCATGAGCTAACCCTGGCCTTCCCTTCAGCTTTTAAAGTAAAGAATTACAGATACTGGAAAATTTTATCAAAGAGGGACGTAGCGGGGAAGTGCATAAATTTCACAAGCGTGTGATATTTTGAAGAGATTATTTCTCCAATCAAGTTCCAGTAGCCAAGCATCTGACAAGCCATGGAGTATCCTGATCTCACCCCTACTTTCTGGAACTCCATCCTGGCCTCCACACACCCACACACCCCTCCCCTGATTGCCAAGGTGGCCAGGCCAACACTCAGTAGGCCTTGGCTTTCGAAACTTCCTTATACTTTGTGGCAGAGGTTTCTAGGTTGAGGCAGCTCTAGGGGTTCCCAGGAGGTCCCTCGGGGACCTGCAATGACAGCTGAGAAGGACAAGCTTTAGGTCCCCCTCTCCACCTCCCTCCCTCACTTTGATTCGGAAGATAGTACAGCATAGTGGTTACTAAGGCTTGGCTGCAGGAACTGAAATCTGCCTATATGACCTCCTCCTCACTCAGCCACTTACTCCTGTGTGACCTCAAGAAGGGATTTCGCCATTCTTTGCCTTACTTTCATCATTTACTTTGTAAAATAAGCTACGTGATCTAGGACCTCATAGCATCACGTTGAGGATGACATGAGAAAACTCAAGGAGTGTAGCGTGGTAACTGGCACGTACTAAGTGCTCAACAAATATGTTAGCAATGGGAGATTTTATTTGAAGACAGAACTGTTTCTTAAAAAAGAAAACAAGGTGCAAAACCCTGATCTTGGGTATTAACAACCAGATGATCAGGAAGAGAGGCATCTGGGTCTCACAGGGGCTTTTCTTAGGCAAGACTCTGGTTCAGGGTATAGAAGTTTGAGATCAGATGTGACAGAGAGTCTAGGAACTTCTAAATCGAAACCAGATAATGAAATACAAAATCATTGGAAAGCCTAAGGTGAGCCCCGTGGCGGTAGTCACACCCCAGGACACCCCCAAGGAGAGACCTCACCATCAGCCACCTCTAGTCTCTCCCACACGCACCCAAGCCTTTGGGCAGCTGTGGCCCCAGGACGGCTCGGGGCTTGGTGCTCTCTGCCCCTTTCTAACCACACTCCCATGGCCTCGGCTCTTTGCTGATACCCAGCCAGCCCTTCTCGTCTCTTCTCCACCCAGTTTCTTACACTGCTCCAGGCTTTTTTTTTTTTTTTTTTTCCATCTCATGGTCTAAATCATTCCACAGGCTTGGAAGAAAAGCCAAGAAGGACTATTGGATGGGGCTAGACCAGCTCAGGAGGGAAACCTAGAAGCAATATGTCATTTCAGATCTCTCCTCATAAAGTCCTTCCTTTCGGTGACAAAGCCACAATCGATGGTGCCCGGCGCTATCCAGTCCACTCACTGGCCTCTTCAGCGCTGCTCCAGGCAAAAAAGACTTTCCCAATTCCCAATGCTAATAAATCATGTTAATCGTGGTCCAGTCCATCTAACTCAGGCCTCCTCTGACCCAAACTGTCTGCCTCACTCTCACTGAGTTTTGGGTTGCTTTGTTCTGCTTGTCCCTCAGCTAGACTGAGGCCCCAGTGGAGATGGCCTCATTTCTCTGAGAACAAATGTCATCCCCAAATAATAACTAATTACAAGTGATATATGGAAAGCTTCCTGTTGTTCAGATAACTGGGCTAAGTTCTTTACATGCATCATTTCTCTTCCAATTCGTAGCAAACTCCATAAGAGGTAGGTACTATTATTATTCCTGTTTTATAGATGAAGGAGGCTGAGGTCCAGAGAGGTTAGGAAACTTTGTTAGGATTGCACAGCTAACAAGTTGTGGAAGCGCAATTAACGTAGTGGTATGAGTAGCCCTGATATTAACAAGTATAAATGGGTGGTATTTAATGGGCACTTACTACCTGCCTGTCCTTTTCCAAGCACTTTCCATGTATTGATTCACTTAATCTTTTTAACAGCATTATGGGGTACGTCCTAGTATTCCCATTTTGCTGAGGGAGTGAGAAACAGATGCCCTTGGAGGGCATACAGATGCCCTTGGAGACCCTCTTAGGGTCCCTAGGAGGCAGGACCACTAAGTGTGAGATCACACACCCTTTCAGCTTTTAGGGGGAATCCAAATAACAGGAGCCCTGGTTTCAAGTTCTAGAGCAGTGATTTTCAAGGAGCCTTCTGGGAAGGCCATATAGTACCTTTCCCTAACTCCCAGCAAAGCAGTACTGCTTTTTTCCAGAGAAGTTTCAATTTGAGGAAAATACTATTCGACTAAAAATGTTTAAAAGCCTTAGCATGCCTGCTGTAAACAATAGTCTTGAAGGAGACAACCGTCCAGAAGCTTGGGAAGTTCTTCCTCACAAAGTCACTGCCAGGAGTGAGCCAGCCTGTGGAAGAGTTTTGACTGACCCTCAGAGTGGTTTTTAAAAATTAAATAAGTCAGCACTTAAAAATCATGAGATTTCACATAACAAATCTGGGCTTGGCAACACAGGGCCCACCTTCCTGCCTGGCAACAGCCAATTGGAGCTGGGCCACCACTGTCCACTCGGCATGAACTTGCCCATTCCCACTGTCCCCATCGGGGGCCACTTTGGGCATGGACATACCCTGCTGACCCTGTGGGAATCTGAGTGTGCCAGCCAGCTCCAAAACTTAAGGCCTCCCTCCAAATTGCACTGCATCCCAGGTTACAGCATCGGTTGTGAGCATTTCCCCCCAGAAGTGCTGAAAACTCCCTGTAGCCCCTTAATTCTTCTTGCCAATGCAGCTAGCCCTTAAACAAGTGTCCTGACCTACTTCTGACTTCAAAGGAGCTGGCCAAGGCTGCTGTTTAATCGTGGCCTGTGGACCTTTGGATTAAGTCTACCAGGTACAGGACATCATCTGTACCCAACTGGTGAACATAGGCAGAAGGGCCTCATAGCTCAGCTTCTCCAGAAAGTCTAAATTATTTTGTGAATAGTAGGCACATTGAGGCAAACACTTTACATTTCCAGACAATACAACCTGTTAAAGATAATATATTCTCTGGGTGTATCACCCTGTCTGTATTTTCCCTGAGTTCATCTCTTCCGAGTAGTGAAAGGGTCTCCATGTCATTCAAACACTGTCATCATCAGTATCTCTATCCTTCTGACTTTTCAAACCTAGATTATATACGTACATTATATATATATATATATATATATATATATATATATGTAATATATATAAATAAATACACGTAATATGTAAAATATATAACAATACATACACATACTATATAAATATTTATATAAACTATGTGCATATATTTTAATATATTTATATATATATATACACCTTCATCAGAATTGTTGAGTCAGTCTTCCAGATGTGTGTCCAGTCTGGTCCTTGCCAAGCAAGAAGAGTGAGGCAAAGGTGATGCAAACTTCCCACATCCAAAGGTGGAAGAGTTGGTGGAAGAGTTGGTGGAGGCCTAACCCCCTTACCGACCAGCCGCGTGGCCTGAGTCACGTAACCTCTCAGAACTTCAGTTTCCTCCCTGTGAAGTGAAGATAATAAGCGGCTGTCCCCTGGCTGGTCATTTCACCTCCGGAACACCCACAGGGGGCTAGGCGGGCTCCGCCCTGCTGACTCAGGGCGAAGAGGCAGAGCTGGCCACGCCTCTGTGGGACAGCAAGCCTCCGTGACAGGGGCAGTGAGCTGGGTCTTGAGGACGAGCAGCAATTACTTAGAGAACAGGAGGGGACCGCACCTTAGGTGACCAGAGGCGCCTGTGCAAAGACGCCAAGAGGCTTCCCTCTATGCTGGCGCTTCGCCCTCCACCTGGCTGAGAACAGCTACTTTGCTCGCGCTCGGGACGGACTCCGCTGGCGAGGAGAGCCTGCCGTGCTTGGCCCTGGCTCTGGCCTCCCCGGGGGACGGACCCGAGCCGCACACGAAGCCTGATCTGCGGGGAAGCTGCCGAGGAGAGATAGCCGAGTGGACGGAGGCTGCGCCAGCGACACCTTCCCAGGGTCAGTGACACTCCTCTGAATCCCTTAGGCCCTCGCTGGCCTCCAGAAACAACATGGCCGTGGCCGTCTCCCAGGGCCAAAGAAAATGACTTGGGGGTGGAAGAGAGAGAGGAGGGGCCCGGAGACTTGGCGCACGCTTTCCATGGAAAGAAATGAAGTGTGCCCTGCAAGGGCAGCACCCCGATAGGCATCTGCGGCGGGGCTCAGCTCGGGACCCAGGGAGGAAGAATTTCAAGGCTCATAAACATCTCTCGTGGGAATACCAGCGAAGTGGAGGCCCCGGGTTTACTCCAGCTAGAACTCGGCACGTGAAAGCACAGGCCAGAAGGGGGAAGGGCCTCCAAGTGTTCCCAGGAGACCCTGGCACCCCCAGCGGCTGATGGGGGCCCCTCCTCATCCAGCAGGTAGAGGCCACAACATCAGCCTCCACCATCCTGGCCGGATATCAACTCTTTGACTCACACACTTATAGAATTCTGATTAAAACCCTAAATTTAAACAAACCTGGGATCTGGGACCTGGGACCCTTTGCAGCAGTGTTGGCACCTGGACAAACGTGTCCTCCAACAACAAAATACCAATGAAAAACATTATGAGGGACTAAAAATAACTGCAGGTATGTGCAGTTGGGGCAAATGATGAACAATAAGGTACAAAAAGGCCAAAATCCAACCGCCACTTCTGAGGCACTGGAGCAAAAGCAGGGTCCTGTGCAGGATGCCTGCGCTCAGCTCCACCAAGGGGGTGGGAAGCCGCCCCTCCCGCCTGACCCACCAATTCGCCCGACCCTCCCCCCGTTTAAGGGACCAGGTTGACCCTCCTCGGGGATCAAGCAAGGGCATCTGTTTCTTGTTCTCACTCCCTCGTGCTGCAGCACAAGTCCCAAGAAAGCCTTGTCTGAATTCCTCGTCTGGCTTCTTATCAATTTCTATTGATTGAAGAGTCCAAGGACTCGAGTCTACAGCAAACCTAGTGTTCAAGTTTGACCTCAATCCACTTCACGGTGGGAAGAGAGATTTCTGGAAGGCCTCTACGTTTTAGGGGGAAATCCGAGGAATTAGAGCTTATGTAGATCAGGGCACATAGCAGCCTGGCCAATACACAGGGGGTGCTTAGGGGCAGAGAAGCCATCTCCCGCCTGGGATTAGAAGCGCCACAGTTCCTTTGGGGACAGGGGCAGCCAATGCAGCATTTAAAGGGGGAATCATAACAGCCTCGCTGCCGTGCGCTGTGGGGTGTAACTCGTGAGTGACACTTTCTGTCGTCCACACAGCATGAGCCAGTCACCCCTGCCTGCCTCTGCTGCCTGCCTTTCTCCTCAGCCCTTCTCCTTCTCTCTGGCTCTGTGTCTGCCTCCACTGTCTGATCTCTTCTCTGTGCTGACCTCTGAGGACCAGCATGATGGAACGGAAAGAGTAATGGCTTTCAAGTTCAGACTGGGGTTCACATCCCACCTCTACCCCACACTGGCTGTGGGATCTTGGGCAAGACCTCCATGACCTTCAGTCTCCTCATCTGTGACCTCCTGGGGGACAGGGACCAAACCTCCCATTCATCATGAATTCTCAGATCAAAATTTGTTGCTTCACAAATAGAAGGTATTCAGTGGTAATCTTCTAGACTCTGTCTAAGTACCCTAAATACTTTTACATGTATTAACTCATTTAATCCACAGACCAGCCCTGTGATGTAGGTGCTATCATTGTCCGCATTTTACTGATGAGGAAACTGAAGCTTTTTGAATGAATGAATGAATGAGCACTATGGCAATGGCAAGAATTGTTTATGTCAAAGTACCTGACCAAGGACCTGGTACCTCACATCTTCCATAGCAGATCTGCCACCCCTTTGGTTTCTCCTGGCATTGGGACAGTCTGTTGAGCACCCATCTCTGCCCCTGGGTTAGGCACAGCCTCCTCTCAGCCTCCCAGACAGGATGGCACACACCTCTGTCTGGGGCGTAGGGGTCTTCACTGAAGGAGTGAAGGGAATCTGCCCTCTGGATAGAAATTCCTCAAAACAGCACCAAAAACACAAGATACAACCAACGCTTCCACCTCCCCCTTCCCCTGGAGGAGTGTGCTCTGGTCATCCAAGGTCTGCCAGATGCTTGGGCAACATTTCAGCAGCCCAAGGCCCTCAGCACAAGATGGCCAGGGGCAGCACACAAACCTATAGCCAGTGCTGGTCAGCTTTCCATAACAGCAGAGGGAATCAGATCAGCCTCGGATGGTGCCTGGCACACCACAGGCATTTGTTTTTGTTGACCAAAAATTTCGTTGAGGTTTTTCTGTAAGATGGCGTGGAAAAACCCGAATGAACTTTCTGGCCAATCCTATAATAAGTATTGAATTAATTGATAGCTTTCTATGCACCATATAGTTTATAGGCGTTAACCACAAACTCCAGAACAGCCCTGTGAGTGGAGCATATTATCCCCATTTTACAGATGAGGAAACTGAGGCTTAAATGTCTATGGATCTTGTCCAAGTAGAAAGCAGCAGAACCAGGATTTGAACCCAGATCTGTCAGGCTCTAAAGGCTATGCTCTTGATGTCCTGTTGTCTGAAACCAAATACCTGAAGGGACTTTTTCTTTCCTTCTCCCCTAGTTCCCCCCTTTCAAGGAGCTCCCTAGCCAGGACCAGGTCTCTCGCCCCATCATTCCCTCTTTTGCCAGCAAGGCCACTCATAGGATCCAGTCCCCTCTGGTTTTCACTGCAGGACAGAAGGTGACCAGGACCCCAGCAGAACAACCCAGAGCTGGAGGCCCCTTCAACTCATTGGACAGAGGATGAGGATGTTAGTAAAACTAGAGCCTCCTTCGAGGGACTTCTAATCCTCTCCTGGCTGTCATCCCTCACTTGTCTCTTCCTGGTGCAGCCTGTGACTCCTACTGGCCGTCGGTCCACCCTGAGTACTGGACGAAGCGCCACGTCTGGGAATGGCTCCAGTTCTGCTGCAACCAGTATAAGCTGGATGCCAACTGCATCTCCTTCTGCCACTTCAACATCAGCGGCCTGCAGCTGTGCAGTATGACACAGGAGGAGTTCATCGAGGCAGCTGGTGTCTGCGGGGAGTACCTGTACGTCATCCTCCAGAACATGCGCTCGCAAGGTCAGTGCCAGGAGGGCTGGGCTTTGAGGACAGGGGCCCGGTATTGGGACCAAATGACCTCTGAGGTCCTTCCCTACCATATGACTCACATGGCGAAATTTTATTAGCGGCAACTCTCTGTTAAACCAAATCCCCGGCTAACCAGACCTTTCTGTACCCAGAAGCTCTACCATGCTAGAATCGGATGGGAGGTAAAACAGAGTGAGTTACAAGGAAGCAAGCTGAGTACAGTTTTTTAAAAAAAGAAGAAGAAAGAAAGAAAAAGAAAACTAAAACATGTTCAAGGACCGCCCAGAAACCAGGCTGATACAACAAACTATTATGTTCATAAAGATTGTTAACCATAAAGGGTGGACAAAAAGAGACAGCTTCTGCTTGACATTTTATTAAGCAGAAGGAGAAGAAAATTCACGAGACCTTTTCCCTTCCCTGTTTCCAGAGGTGTCCGACTAATTGCCATTTCCTTTTATCACATTCCTAATGGTCAAGGATCGAATGGCTGCAAGGTGGCCCCAGTAGCATTATTTAACATCAACATGCTCTCCAGGAGTAGAATGTTGCTGGACAGGTTTTTTAAACCCGGAAGCATTTTTTGAGAACATACAATTCTGTATCCCCATATCACAGAGAAAGGAACTGAGGTCCTGAATGGTTAAGTGACTTCTCCAAGGTCAACAGGGCTGATTCATGGAAAGTCAGTACAAAGCAAGGACTGTGAGATCAGAAAGACCTTTGCTCCAACCCTGGCTCTCACACTTCGGAGCCGCAGGACCTCTGGCGAATGGCTTAACCTCTCTGAACCTCCACTGTCTCGCCTCTGTGGTGGGCTTATGATACACACCTCCCCGGGCTTCTTGACAGGATTCAGTGAAACATTATCTGGCACAGCAAATAAGTTGCAAATGAATGGCAACTGTTTTTGTCATCATGAATATAACCAAGAGGCAGAAATTTTTAAAAATAAAGAAACACATCTCAGCTCAATTTTAAGAAAGACCTTTCTAAAAGTTAGCACCTTCTTTTAAAAAGGCAGCTTCGGGCTTCCCTGGTGGCACAGTGGTTGAGAGTCCGCCTGCCGATGCAGGGGACACAGGTTCGTGCCCCGGTCCGGGAAGATCCCACATGCCGCGGAGCGGCTGGGCCCGTGAGCCATGGCTGCTGAGCCTGCGCGTCCGGAGCCTGTGCTCCGCAACGGGAGAGGCCACAACAGTGAGAGGCCCACGTACCGCAAAAAAA